TTTTTTTTACATTTATAAAGAACACATTAAGTGGAGGAATTGTTTTGGAAGAGACTGTGGACCTGTCGTCTGACAGATTGCTGATGATGATCTATATTATCACCCAGTAGATCCATATCATCAGCATTGCTAGTGGGGTGGGACTAAGTCCCTTGCACTTTGGCCATTTCTGGCCTATGTACACCAGTAGCTGATGTGTCTCATTTAATTTCAGTCCCACTTGGTTTTCNGAGAAGGAGATAAATGAGTGTATGCACTGCAAGACGGATTAAATAAATCATGGATCCCCAATAATTTCATCTATGTATGGACTTAACCCAAGAGAAAAATATTGGATAAAATTTTGTATGAAGTTGATAGCAGTGATATCCCCGATAATTACTACAGTCAGTTTTATCACCCCTCTTGTGAACTTATACAATAATAGACTCCTTCCACTGGTCAGGCAATTTTTCCTTATGCCAAATAGAAGTAAGTAACTTATAGATCTTAGAACGTAATATTTCGCCTCCTGCTTGAATCAGTTCTGCCGAGTTCGATCACTACCTGGCGATTTATACCTTTTCAACTTTGCAGTAGCAATTTCGACCTCAAGAGGGCTAGGGTCGGGTACTAACCGGTCACAAATACACAAGTACCCTTGATACTTCCAACGGAATTCCTAGAATATCGAGCTTGCCGATTCCATTTTTATCAAAGGATGTGGTCAGTTAAGAAACTCGCGCAAAACCATATTTGTACCACAACAACGTATTCGTTCATTTCCAACGGCAACATGGGGTTCACTGTAATTTTCCTTCTGCTCACTTGCGTCTTTGCACAAAGGGAACACGTAAGTTAAAATGAAAATTCGTGCCCAGCGGCCTAATGGGGAAAACAATTATGCTAATTTAATTATTTACTTATATCTTGAATTTTATTGTCGTATATTCTCGATTCTAAGACATCACTGACTGTAACACGCACCGTTGATTTAGTAATGGGTTTCAGGAGAAAAGAAAAACGCTACCGATTGTAAGGCGTATCCTTGTATCTTTTTGCTTCCAATCCATCAGGTACTTTTTAGACTCAAAGGCATACTTAGGGGCCGTCAACACAACAATTGATTATGAACCGATATTTAAATATTTAATATTCAGGTTGTTTTATTTTCATCCCACTACATGTTTCAATCTACGTTTTTTACATGTCGCTATTTAATTCTTAAAATGGATCCTGTTAATGATCTCGACTGATCGAAACATGTAGAAGAATGACAATAACTCGTACATTTTAATATCGGTTTATAATAAACTGTTATGTTTACAGGCCCTAAGTATACCTTTGACACATTATACGCAACAAGATGCAGAAAATAAAGCTTTTCACAGTGTTAAAAGTCAAGACACTTTTACAATGAAAAAACATAAAAATAACGGAATTATCAGTGTTATCAACATGATGATATTCTTCGTGCTTCAGTCATACTATATAATTATTCAGCATTGATTCTTAGACACCATGTAATATAAGACGCATCCGATTTCAGAGATTTTTATATGCGAAACAAAAGGCATATTTTATAAGTGACGAAATATATTTTAATCGAGTTGTCACAAACTATTTTTTTAATTCGTTTAGTGGGGGTGGGGTCCAACTGGGTCCACTCGGCACGGCGGCAACTGATTGGCCTACTGTACCCATCCCGGGTGATTATGATGATGGAGAATTTGGTGGAATGAAGATTGACAGGGGAAACCGAAGTACTCGGAGAAAACACGCCCCAGCGCCACTTTGTCCACCACAAATCCAATTTGACCAGACCCGGGATCGAACACGGGCCGCCGAGGTGGGAAGGCAGCGACTAACCGCTTGAGCTATGGCGCGGCCTTGTCACCAACTATCTGGAAGCGTTTCAGGGGTCAAGGCCTCAGGACCATTTTTAGGCAGCTTCCAGGAGAGGCATTCTGAAGCGTCTAGCTAGACAAGTATCTAAGTGGACCCTGTTCCAGACCCACTAATTCTCAGAAAATCTGGTAATGCCGGGAATCGAACCGGGGACCTCTGGATCTGCAGCCAGGAATTCTGACCACTAGATGACAAAGGCGGTCCATTATATCACAATATCTAAGTGTGTTTTATATTTTATAATTACAAACTTCTGCAATTTAGCTTACAATTTTAAATCTGTTGTTATATTTTATACTATTATACAAAGATTTGTATATACTAGTTAACATACAGTTTTTATTCTGGACAGTTGATGTATAAGAAAAACAATTTCAGTAATTTTAACAACACTAGAAATCCAATATATTGGCAATAATTTTAATACAGTAACATACACCTTTATAGAAAGCAACTCAATAGTTCTAATGTATACCTGCCTGATTATGGCTTCCATAAGCCGAAACATGTAGCAGGACACTATCAACATGAATAAACTCATACACAGTTGATGTGAACAAACCTGTGAGATCGATAAAACACACAATTGGTATAAGTTAACACAACAGAATGCATTCCTTGAAGATTAGTCAGGTCAGTTGATGTCTGGCTGAGATGTGAACTGGATATATACTGAATACAAATCAGAAGCATTACTGAAGATTTGAAGCTTTCACAGCCAATAAATGGCCTAAAATCGTCCCAGGTGATCAGCCATGTCAGTGTTAACATAAAAATCGTTTCAGAGATCTCCTCCATTTCCTTGATCAGGGCCAATATCATCAACATTTTATATACAAACAATGAACAGATCCTGTAAACATGTGACTACACACCACGATTAGGAAAGTGCTAACCATGTTATATCTTTTGCTACCTAGACAGGCAGAACCATTAATACATAATATTATGCTTCACAAGAATTCATTTTTACTGCAAGGAAGTAAAATAATTAGATCACATTCAAAATTTTGGAGGTGCCCATATTTTTATGGCACTGTAAATCAATTTGTATTACTGGCAATTCACACAAAAGTGGGTCTGAATGACCAAGGTACCACTTCACATAGTATCTACATGTACAGGATTTTCAATTTCTGTAAAGGCATACTGGGTTAGAAGTTATGGATGAAAGAGTGTTTTTAAATGTTGGGAGGATGTATTTATTTCTGAACTGTACAGTATTGATAAGGAACAGAAGTATTCTCATGAATCGATTTGTCTGAATTTGAAATGTAATGCTTTGATTCCAGACCTGTGAGAACAAGCCAGACATAATACACACATTTGAAGAGAGTAAGTGCATTTTAGTTGCCTAGTATAAATTTCCTTATGCAAAGAATATGGAATTACAGTTACTGTCTAATAAATTGATTCTTGAGCATAAATAAGTAGCTGTTAATGTAAATAAAATGAAAATGCACAACAGCAAATTCATGCATTTGACTCATTAGTTCTGTGCAGACAAGGACAGTAATGCTGCTTCAGGATTTGCCTAACAAACAATTACTGGCCGCGCCATAGCTCAAGCGGTTAGTCGTTGGCTTCCCACCGTGGCGGCCCGGGTTCGATGCCGGGTCTGGTCAAGTGAGATTTATGGTGGACAAAGTGACGCTGGGGCAGGTTTTATCCGAGTACTTCGGTTTCCCCTGCCAATCTTCATTCCACTAATTGTTCCACAATCACCCTCGCCTATCATCTGGAGCTGGTACAACAGGCCAGAAGTGGCCGCAGTACAAGGGACTTAGTCCCACCCCACTAGCAATTAAAAAAATTTAATTACTCATGTAAGATTTTATTCGAATATTAAGAAACACCCGAAATTATAAGTTTCAAAAACATACATGAGATCTCTCTCAAATATTTTGATATATTCACACAGTTCTGACCTGCAAAGACAAAATATTCACATCAAATTTCAACAAAGGCATGATGGACAGTACATGCTCACAACCCAGAGATACAGTTGTGCCCATCATATCAGATGAGCCAGGCATCCAGGTAAGTGTAGCAACATTTAATGTAATTAAGAATCTGTCATTATATACTTCCATTAAACACAGCCAATTAAAATGCAACAGCATGCTACAGTAGACAATTATGACTATTATGTCATCTGTTATGTATTCAATATACATGATGTTTTGGAAATTAAATTAATTTCCATTGCCAGGTGTAAGGGGGTGAAAATTATATTCAGCTGGGTCCATTAGAAAGAGCTAACTCAGTCACTGGACCAAAGCTCTAATTGGCCCAACCAAGTAGGGTCCTTTTGCCTTTTACACATGATGGCAGAAACAGATCCAGTTCCTGAAACACTGTGTATATCAACTATATCCTATGTAAGATTTGAGGTTTTCTTGGCGGTGACTATGAAGAAAGCCGTTTTCTGCGATGTGGCACCATGTAGATCTACAAGGTGCCACATCCCAGAAGACGGCTTTTTTCAACTAGTTGAAAACTAGTAAAACTAACCGAACGCTTGTTGCTTTACTTCATGAACAAGAATATAAAGAAATTCAGTCCTGAGATTTGTTGTAACCATTTCCTGTATGTACCTTTATATGGTTCGTGGCAGTACATACCAAGCACTGTGGTCGTCAAGAAGTGTGCAGGGGCATGCTTACATCAGCTGTCCTGCATCCCAACAGAGAAAAAGATGGTTCCATTTAGTGTGAGTACTACAGGACTGTGTTCAATGTTAGTGTTGAAGCTATGAGTTTTCCTGCCCCAGCGACTAGTATTACATCTGAGAACTGGTTAAACCTATGAAACACAGATTTATTCTAAATACAGGGTTATTCAAAAAGAATGAACCGATTTTATTACGCAATATTCTATTAAAGGAAAGAAATACAAAACTCCAGCCAAGTCACAAGTATTCTACTCACAATCAACTTTTATTTCCTGTCTTCCAAGTGTTCAATGTGGCCACCACCTGCAGCATGGGCAACATTAACGCGATAAGAGAATTCCTCCCAGGCGCGTATCAGCATAGCACGATGCACTGAGTTAATCGCTGTTGTTATTCGATGTTTAAGGTCATTGAGGTGAGTGGGTAGCGGTGGAACATAAACGTGATCTTTTACATATCCCCACAAGAAGAAATCACACACGGTGAGGTCTGGGGATCTCGCTGGCTAAGCACAAAGAGCAAGGTCTTGGGCCCCCTTCCGACCAATCCATCGCTGGGTCACTTTTTCATTTAAAAAAGCTCGGACCATCAGGTGCCCCATCTTGTTGAAAAATGAAGTCATGCGAAACTGCTTGCAGTGAAGTGAAGAGCCAGTTTTGGAGCATATCAAGTTAGGTTTGTCCTGTAACGGTGTTTCCTTCAAAGAAAAAGGGACCATAAACCTTGTCCTGGGACACAGCACAGAAGACGTTCACCTTAGGGGAATCTCTTTTGTGCTCAACTGTTTCATGTGGGTTCTCTGTTCCCCAAATACGCACAATGTGATGATTAACTGTGCCGCTCACATGAAAAGTCGCTTCATCACTAAAAATTAAACGTGAAATGAAGGTTTCGTCTTCCATCATCTCCAGCATCGAATTGCAAAATTCCATCCACTTCCTTTTGTCATCATTGGTAAGTGCCTGAACGAGCTGCAGTCTGTATGGTTTCAAATGAAATGAAATTAAATTAAATTAAATTAAATGTAGATGTACTGTTAGCACACGCCAGACAGTGGATTGAGGGATCGCAAGCTCACGGCTAGCTTGATTTGTTGACTTCCGCGGGCTCCTCTCAAACGCAGCATGGATTCTCGCCACTTGTTCCTCCGAGACTCGTGGTCGTCCTTTACACAGACACCCACTCTCTTGAAACCGTCGAATGTTGTTAGGACAGAGCGGATTAATGCCGAATCGCCTTCGAAAAGCACGCTGCGCCATGACAACCGAATTTGTTTTCGCGAACTCGAGAACGCAGAACGCCTTTTGCTGAGGACTCTCCATTCCGAGGGAAAAAACACACAGGGCTTTGCCGGAAGAACAACGCGACTTCCGCGTCCCTGTGGCAACCATTCACAACTCAGATAACTCCTCTTTCAAATGGTCACTGACTCATTCCATGATGATGCTTGAGAAAGGAAGCAATGTGTCATGAAATCGGTTCATTCTTTTTGAATAACCCTGTACATATAGTGAAAAATCCAGTACCTACCTTATACCTTGTATGCTCTGTCACCATTATAAAGACCAATTGGTTAACACAGTCAGGGAAACAACTGCTATTTTCTCTGAGAACCATACAGAACACATAAATACTCTTTGTGGGCAATATGCAGAGTTTTGGAATATTAAAGCAGATGGTATATATAGTAACCACTGTGCTTTAATAGATTAGTCTTCTGAAGTACAGAGAGAAAAGGAAGTGTGGGGAAGTTGTGAAAGAGACTAAATTTAAGGGGGGGGGCAAAAAAAAAAAGAATTTTTCTTTGAAGGTTCCCAAGCAATGCTCACTTGTCCTTCTGAAGCATAAATTGAATTTCTTCTATATAATCCTTAAACAATCAGTCTGTACTTCACAGAAAACATTGCATCTTCATTACAAATATGAACTGGTTAATACTTGCTGCTTAGTCTGACAATCATACAACACACCCACATTCCAGAGTTAATTAATGTTAATGGAGGTGATATACCTGTACATATGCAGTAACCACTGTGCTTTAAAGAATTAAAACATGATTGTTATTGCAGAGGTGAACCAAACTGGTTTTCCCACGTCTAATATGACATATTCCACATCCTAAAGTCATTTTGAGAAACTTTAGATCCTTGGAATGCAATGCAATGTAATGTAATGTATCATGTCATGTTACTTAGGTAAGTGTGAACATGTTCATTTAATCAACAAATGTCTCGCTGAAGAAACATTGCCCTCCCATCTGTTTATAAAGTTGTAATGCCAGTCACTTCAGAAATGTCTGAACAGGGTTTTAAATTTAGGCAAAGAACGACTTATGACTGTTCTAAAATTATTATGAAAATTATACAGTCATAAGGGACATCACATAATTCACACTGCATCTGTTTAAATGTACTGATACTCATGATATAAAATTACTGTAAGTGAACCAAAAACTTTCTCTTCCCCTTTCATACAAGCGCTTACTAGCATTTCTGGGAGAAATTTAAAAAAAAAACACAGACTCTTCAATATAAGAATATGTATTAAGGAAACAGCAATAACCAACACATACCAAGCGAGCTGGCTTAAGCAGTAATCCTTCTGACTTGTAATTGGGAAATGTCCAACATAACATAAAATAACATAAAGTAACGTAACAGAACATTCTATGATTTTGCTACAGTACACTTAGCAGGTTGATAAAATTTTAGATTTGTATGCAGAAGGTACCTGGTTTGAATGTTTGCTGCAGTTTTACGAACGTATCTTGACCTCTCTGGGCAAATGCTAGAACAGAATTTTGAAATGGTCCATAATCATCTACTTAGCATTCATCGTCTTCCTAATTCATTCAAAATTATATGCCCCTGTCATTGAAACAGTGTTATTAAAAGCTCAAGGAATTTATTAAAATTGTTACAGAAACTTGCAGTGAAAATGGGTGGTATAACAGTAACCATTCTGTGCAGGTACGACGTCACAGAGAGGGAGAATCGATAACTTGTGGGACAATTTATGTAGAAGAACATGTGAGATGCAAGTGTAACTGTAGGGTTATGGAATCACATTGTATTCCTGAGAAGCAGGTAAGAACATGAAAGTTACAAGTGTGATTGTAGGGTTATGGAATCACATGGTTATAAAACAGCAGAAAGGATCACATGTAAGGGACAGATGGAGAGATTTTCATATGTATAGACTGGTACTTAAGAAGTTCTGTGTGGCAAACATAAAATGGTTATAACATATAAAAGATAGACAGGAGGCAAAGATAAATAGTTTACAATGAATAAATTAGCATTATTTTCTCAGTTCTGTAAAAAAACATGGTTAATTATAGCAGGTGGCCAATTCCTCAGGTATACTATCTCTACTGTTGAGAGCTCTCACACTGTAACTCCATATCTGCAACAAATGGATATCAAAACAAATGCAAATGACTGATGCAAAATCTGTAAGAATGATTTTGGAAAATATGGAGTATGTGTACTCCGAACTGTAAAACATATATCCGCTTTGCTCTGCCTATATTAGTCAAGAATTTAAACTGAAATGAATGTTTTTATGAATCACTAATTCTGAGACTGAAGAGTGCCGCCCTGTTGAGAAAAAGATCTAATAGTGTCACAGCCAACAGAACGTCACATCTGTGAAGCAGGACTAATGCAATTGGAAGATGGGAAGAAGTGAGTGGGTAGATTACACAGGAGACATGTTTACATTGTCCTGCTACAAAAAAACTTCAGTTTTATGATTAACTAGAAACAATTTAAACCCTTTCTCCTGCTTTAAATAGTTTGCATTGTGGAACAGTATTTCATAAGCTTGTCTCCTTAGATGGGAGCTGGGACAGCTCAGTGGTATACTGATTACAATACAAACTAGACAACTGAAGTTTTAATTTCTGGGATTCACCCAGCTTCCCTTCCATTGGGTACTGGAGAGCTCTTCGTCTAGGGGTAAAGCAGTCAGGGCATGAAGCAGACCACTCACCTCAGCCCACTGTTGAGGTTAAGAATGTATCGAGCTACATTATCACTCTCCCAAACATCTTCATACCATCTTGCTTAATTAAGGCCAGGGGAACTTGTCTCCTTAAAAAGCATCATGGCAAATTCTAAGGATTAATATTAATGAATTATGTGTGATGCTGCACTTCAGTTCAGAGCTTGACACTGACTGTTAAAACCCAAATGTGATGAGAAATGTGCTTATGTGCATGAACATTATTTTGCTTGTGGGATGTTGTTAGGCAGTATCATGTTCAGCTATAACCTGGACAGTCAGGGTTTGATTCACAACATGGGCTGGAATTTTTCTCATTGCATTTAGGCCAACTTTGGTGTCCATCTAGCTTTCTCTCGAGTGAGTACCAGGTGCTGTTTCCCAGGAATGAAACTGACCACTTGCTCCATCTAGAGCAGAAGTTAAGAATGCATGACATTATATTGTCAGTCTTCTATGTCTTTGTGGTGTAATGCTTAATCAAGCACACAGACAAATTTACTTACAGTTGTATTATGAAGGATACACCTGGAAAAGTCAATATGATCCAATCTTTTACTTGTTTAGGAATATGACAGACGTGCATGCATGTGTCGATGCATGAATATGGATGAGAAGGAAGAATGTGAGAAAAGTGGCAGACTATGGGACCAGAAGGCATGCAAGTGTCAATGCATCAAGGAGCATGATGACTGCACCACTGGACACTATTGGGTTCCTACACTCTGCAGGTACTGAACTTCATTCTTGTTAAGAAAGTCGTCTTCTGGGTTTAGGCACCGTGTATTCTTCGTTTTGGCCGACGTTTCGGAGGAACGTCGGCCAAAACAAAGAATGTAAGATTTGAGGCTTTCACGGCGGTGACTATGAAGAAAGCAGTCTTCTGGAATTTGGCACCGTGTATATATGGTGTTAACCGACGTTTCGGAGGAACGTATCGCCCCCATCTTCAGGGTTGAAGAAGTATAGGTAAATCTGCAAGCGACAACACCGTGAGACACGGTCAAGCAGACTGATACGTTCCTCCGAAACGTCGGTTAACACCACATATACACGGTGCCAAATCCCAGAAGACTGCTTTCTTCAAAACAAAGAATACTCGGCGCCTAAACCCAGAAGACGACTTTCTTCATAGTCATCGCCGTGAAAACCTCAAAACTTTCATTCTTGTTAGTTTAACCAAACAATCCCAATATTCCATTACATAACTCTCTGGAAGTAGAAGCCATAGGTTCAATACTGTTAATACTAAAGTCTGCAGTTCAGCAATCCTGGCCCAGTTTTATCCATCACCTACTCCGTCACCTTCTCAGTGTACCAAATACCCACTTTTCAAACGGTTTACTCACCAGAGTTGTGAATATATTTCACATCTCCCCAACCTAACTACATTACTAGTCCATCATAACCTCCCAGATTTCATTGTCCTATTAATAATGGATGACCTGTGTAAACCACTACACATCATGTAATATCCTAAACTGTTCACATCATCCTTCATAGTTTCAAATACAATTGCGTGTGCATGTTGTTTACAGATACTTGTAATTTATGTCACTCCCTTTAAATAAGATATCTAGTGATGCTTTGGGTATCAAGACTATGTAATAATACCAGGTAGTAGGATTACTGATGAACTGGAAAGGATTTGGAAGAAAGATGTTACAAGGATCATCTCCTAAGATGCCATGTAACTAATCATAATGATGAAACATTTGTCAGTTTTTATTACAACATGGGCAATCCCGCATAATGTGTAGAACAGTAAGGATACAGTGAATATTTAAATCTTTGGGTCTGAAGTTTACAGAAAAAGGGAAATCTGTTGTACCTGGGATTCATGGAAAATCAGTACCTTATACTGTACTGAGAAGACAGGATGGCTTCATACACCATTCTTCAATCGATCCAAGTGTTATGCAGAAATGTTACATAAACCAAAGATGTAGCCTAGTCACTCTATTGACTGAGCTACCCTGGCCTCCAATGAGTTAATGCAACAGAAGGAAAAATAATTATGACTCTATTCATGCCACTCGAGTATACATTCACCTTCTTCTGATTAAAGTTGTGTGGCTATCATTCTGCTTTCAGGTGTATGAGAATGATGGATGATGACAACAACATTGACTGAAGAAGGTGTGGAATAAAGTTTTTAAACCCAGCAATATTTTTACTGGGGTACTTCACAATAATTCTCACATAGTGTATCCCTGCAGTTATAGAAATTATGATAAAATTAATGATACTGGGCGTAAACACCTGTATCAGAATTTTATATACTAATCTCCTTAGCATAAAGTAACAAATTCGGCCCAAACTAATTTTGTTATTAAGAAACTCAGATCATATATGCATATATCATTGATGGAGCTGGATATTTTAACTGACCATTGGCTAGCCCACATGCATGGGTCTTGACTTTGGGTGACTGGCAATGTGGCTGCTGTTCCCATCTTATATTATGTTGTGCAACGCACTATCCCTATTAAGATATTTAGAAAGAGGTCATCACAGTTAATGTACACATGATTCCTTCTTCCATTTATTTTTGATGGGCATGATAGGGTTTTAATGCAATTGTGGGCTGAAAAAAAAAATACTGTACTAATGCATCTCCATTTATTATGTGAGTCAATGGACAAACATGCCTAACATTACAGAATTTTGTGATACAAATATATTTTGAAGAACTCATCCCATTCATAACATGGAAGTGTGCTGTACTAGTATGTAGGCTCATTAAAAAGGAGACTTACCTGTTGCAAGTGTGCAAAGATGCATCTGAGATGAATTTGTAAGATCTGAGATTCCCAAAGCAATTGGTATGAAGAGTCCTATCTTGTGGGATATAACACTGTGTAGCCCAATGAAAGTCAACAGGAATTTTCAAAGAACATGTCTCCATCTTCAGGGTTTAAAAATAAGGTGAGCTGCTTGCTACCTGCTTCATGCTGGTTTCTTGCTTGGCTTATTCATCAGCCCTGAAGATGGTAGCAATATGTTCCTCTAAAATGCTGGGTCACTTTAATTGAAATACATATATGGCAATGTGTTCTAAAAGACAGGACTCCTGATGAATTCACCTGGTATACTACAAAAGCAACGGTGACACATTTTGATGCACTTCAATAGATTACTGTATTTCTTTATTATTGCTAGTGGGGTGGGACTATAAGTCCCTTGTACTGCAGCCACTTCTGGCCTATTGTACCAGCTCCAGATGATAGGTGAGGGTGATTGTGGAGCAACTGGTGGAATGAAGATGGCAGGGGAACCGAAATACTCGGAGAAAACCTGTCCCAGCGCCACTTTGTCCACCACAAATCCCACTTGACCAGACCCGGGATCGAACCCGGGCCACTGCGGTGGGAAGCCAACTACTAACCGCTTTAGCTATGGCGCGGCCCTAGATCACTGTAGGTCGCGGTGCAAGGGCCAAGAAGGCCCAACCCTTATACATTCATTGTACAGCTATACTAACAATGTTATGAATCAATATTTCTTTCTTACAATTTGGCATGTCATTATAGTATTCCTGCAATAAATTCAAATTTGTGAAAGGTAATGTTTGAGTTTAATTTAATTTACCTCATTTTCGGTATTGTGCACGTTGTAGCTAGCAAATAGAAATAAAGGTTCAACTATGTGAAAAATCTGCAATAAATGACATTGTGTGAACTCATTTAAAGACCTTCAAATACTGTATACTAATGCTACTTCAGTGACTTACTCACGTGACTGTGGGCATACTTTATAATTATGCTCCTTCACTGTGCATAGACAAAGATTGTACGTAGCACGTCCACAAAGTAACCTTCCCACTTGTCCCACAGCTAGTAAACCCTATATTGCGTGAAGTGATTGCGCGTACGCGATAGAGCAATGACGTAGCATGGCGCATGCATTAACGGAATTTCCCGCATTCCCATACGTTCCCATAGTAGCATCATTGAAGCTGTTGAAGATGCAGGCTCTTATTCCAGCTCCCTCCGACTGTGAAGTGCGGTCAATGATAAAAGTTTTTGAATGCACAGAGCATAGCACCGATCGAAATTCATCGACAGCTGTGCCGGGTCTATGGGCCTAACGTCATGAGCAAGCAGATGGTGCGTCGCTGGTGCAGACAATTTTCAGCAGGTCGACAAAGTGCGCATGGTGAGAAGCGCAGTGGGCGGCCATCCATCATTACCGACGACTTGGTGGAGCTTGTGCGGGCACGCACTATGGAGAATCGTCGCGTCACAATTACGGAACTCAGCAGTCATGTCCCGCAGATTTCCCGCTCCTTGTTGCACGAAATTGTCACGGAGCACCTGTTGTTCAGGAAATTGTGCGCCAGGTGGGTGCCGAAGCAACTGACACCAGAACACAAAACAAAGCGCATGGAGTCAGCATTGACATTTCCGCAGCGATACCATGATGACGGCGACGAGTTTCTGGAACGGATCATCACAGGTGATGAAACGTGGATTGCACACATTACCCCAGAAACCATGCAGCAAACAATGCATTGGCGTCACAGTGGATCTCCCTGTAAGACGAAATTCAAGCAGACGTCGGCGCAGAAAGTGATGTGCACGGTATTCTGGGACAGACGGGGCGATCTCCACGTCGACTTCCTGACCAGAGGTGAGACGGTGAATACTGAGAGTTACTGTGAAACACTGCAGAAATTGCGACGGACCATTCAGAACAAGCGGCGCGGGATGCTTAGTGCCGGTATTGTCTTCCTGGACGATAACGCTAGGCCGCACATGCCTCGACGGACAGCAAGTCTCCTGCAGGAGTTCAGCTGGGAGGTGTTTAATCATCCACCCTACAGCCTGGACCTCGCTCCCAGTGATTTCCATCTTTTCCTACACCTCAAGAAATTCCTGTCCGGTGAGCGTCAGCATTTTGAGAATGACAGAGAGGCGGAGATGGTTGTCACACAGTGGTTCCAATCCCAGGCGGCACACTTCTACGACACAGGTGTTCAAAAGTTGGTCCCACAGTATGACAAATGTCTCAATTCCGGTGGCGATTATGTTGAAAAATAGCTGAACACTTGCTGTATCTGTTGCAATAAATATTTCCATGAAATTGTGTTTTATTTCTGCAAATGGCCCCAGGGAAACTTACTTTGTGCATGAGCCTCGTATGTTGAAAAATAGCTTAACACTTGCTGTATCTGTTGCAATAAATATTGCCATGAAATTGTGTTTTGTTTCTGTAAACGGCCCCAGGAAAACTTACTTTGTGGACGAGCCTCGTACCAATATCATGAAGGTATTTGCTGCTCCATGTATCCTGAAGATGGAGGGAGCACATTACACTGAAAGGTTCATGTCTGTTTACCAAAATACATGGTGTAACATCCCTGAGAATTGTGATATGGATCAGGCATTATTTTAAAGTTTTAGAGAACTTAAAAATGCAATCTAATAACACATGCAACATAGACCAGACATTAATGATAACGGTATACTTTGTTTAAAAATCTCTGAGGATGCATTGTACCTTGAGTAGGTAACCTAATGGAAGAAAGAATTACCCTGTGCTCAACAAGAGCTATAGTATGGTAACCAATGGTTCCCATTGTATATTGAAAACAATCTATAATAACTGTATTGATGATATTACCAGTATCTATCAAACTACACAGTGTCACATTGAAGGAAAGGTTAATCTGGATTCCTACTTCTGTCAGAACCTCAAATACCAAACTGCCTAATAATACTGACACTTCCTATAAGACACGTAACACTCTAGATCAGCTTCAAACTAACAGCCACTGAGAGTTGAGCAGTATATATGTTATGAATATTACTAAATAATAAAATTAATCTAGCTTACCTACATAGTTTGTTGAATATACAGAACACTACATGGCATTCAGAAGTTTTATTCTTCAGGCTAGCTAATGAAATCTACAGAGGAAAGATCTGTGGGAACTATCCACATTGAATAAAGTGCTAGTCAATCAAAGGCTAGGAACCACCTGCTGCTAAGCAACAGCTGGGTAAACAGCCATTGCTAGGTAAAGCCTACATTAATATCACTGGTGTCACTAACATAGGCTAGCCCGCTATGAAGGGAGTTTTGCCAGTATTCATCAGGCATGCTCTGCTTCCCTGCTCAGTGGCTGGGTGTGACAGATCGTAAACAGACTGGAACACTTGGAGTCATGGAGGAGCTGAAACATATGGCTGAGATCTAACGGCAGATAGATGGAGACCATGGTACGAAGGATTGGTAGTATCTTGAGCTGCAGGGCAGTGGTTGATCCCCAGGAGTGTTTGGAGCTCACTGTCGCTGTCATGCGATGTGGCCAGGTCATCGTAGGATGGTGGCACAATGATAAGACTTGACACCAGAAAGAGTGTCTGTGACACTGTCCTGTCCAGAGATGCATCAGATGTTGGTTGTGAATTGCCTTGGTGAGCATTTGTCCCTTTTCTGCTGGAAGGCGTAGATGATGGGTTTGTGATCTGTGAAGATGCTGAAGTGGTGCACTTCCAGCATGTAGCAGAAATGCTTTATGGCCAGCAGCTTGCGGTCACATGCACAAACTAATAGTTGTTGATCTAATCAAGAAATTAACAGTTTCATGGCATTTGAAGGTTCTGAACTGTGTTCGCAAGAGCCCGCTAATGGTGTCTATCCTCAGCCAGACGAATCCAATGTACAACTTCCTGTCCATCTTCTTTATGGTCAGATTTAATTTGATCTTTTAATCTATGCTTAGGTTTTCCACAAAGCCTCTTTTTTTATAGCTATTCCTGTCAAAGCTCCGTATTAATTTCTCTTCTGTACCATGCACATTACAGACCACCTCTGTGGTCTAGTGGTCAGAGTTCCTGGCTACAGATCCAGAGGTCCAGGTTTGATTCCTGGCGCTATCAGATTTTCTAAGTAGCAGATCTGGAACAGGGTCCACTCAGCCTCGTGAGGATAACTGATGGGCTATTCCAAGGAAATAGAGGCTCTGGTCTAGAAAACCGAAATTAACGGCCATGGGGATTTGTTGCACTGACCACGCACACCCTCTATCCCATAAAGCTGGCACCAACTTCGCCGAAAAGCAGCAGTCGCTCGGCCGGTATAGTTTGCTTGTGGACTAAAACCACAGAGTTACCATGTACATTATACATGCCCAGTCCATCACATCCTCCATGATTTCACTGTTCTAGTAATGCACAAGGAATCTACCCAAGCCCAAACCTCTGTGCAATATTTAATAATTTGCTGGCTATTTATGGTGCAGATTATTAGCCACACCCCAAGCAAAAGGATCACGCCTTGCTGGCATTCAGTGA